TCAGGCTCTGCCTCCCACCAAAAACAGCTCCACAGGGGCTGTGCTGCACAGCACCCCGGCCCAGGGACGGCTCCTACCAAAAACGGCCTCACTGCCCCTCTGCACACGAGGCCAGGTTTGCCGTGAGCAGGTCTGACATTCTATTTGGCAGTTTCCATATGCTTTTTGGCTTCGTTTTAGAAAATACACACTTCAGACTAAGAGAACCCAAGGGGTCTGTGTCTCCGGCCAGGCCTGTGTGGGTGGGGGTGCAAAGCCCTCGCTCCAGCAGGCCTGGGAAGACAAGCGACAGGGACAGGCAGACAAACCCCACACACGAAAAACAGACAGTAGCTTTGCATTTTCTTTGTTTTAGACCAACGGAGTTAAAGTGATTTCTTCAGTAAGACTTACGGTACCAGTATATAAATTAGCATCTCTTTAAAGAAAGTTCTTCACATTTAAACTGCAGTTGAGGAGGTGGCCGTGAGGCGCCTTTCAGGCCAGGTCGTCCATGTTAAGGTCAGGAAGAGGCTCTCTCCAGTAGCAGAAGGAGCTGAACTCTGGGCACGGGAATGCAGAACTCTGTTCTTTATTCAGCAGTGGGAACACGTGTTCCACCAGCTCACTCAGTCTGTAATACCTGCACCAGAAGAGAAGAGAGACCGGTACGTAACAGTCCAGTCGCTGCTCCCCTGCAGCCAAAAAGGAGCTTGAGAAGTCTAGACTGGAGAGCTACAGCCAAAGGAGGCACCACTGCTGCAGAAGGGGTTTTCAATTTTATTGTGCCTGTTTACTTTTCGAGACGTTTCAGCCCCATATCCAAAGCTCTATGTCCCTGGCAAAGAAGATTGTCATGTATCATATGTAACAGGAGATGCCATGATGCTGTCACCTCCTTCCTAAATGCTTTCTTTAGCTGAAATAACAGAAATGGCCTTACGAGGATTTGTTCCCCTTAGTCCGCTCCTGGATCAGCTCCCCCTTTGGGTTGACAGTAAATATCCTGCAGTCTGGAACTCCCACCTGCATGTAGGCGTACACGTCCTGCAACGAGCACCAGACAGCACACGCTTCAACACCCCTGTGCAAGGGGACAGAACAGACAGCTTCTGGGAGGAATGAGAAAAGCTCATCCAAAAGGGGCACAGGAGAACTGCCCCTTAAAAGAACAGGGCCCCTAAACAACAGCCAAAAACCCCCCAAAGCCCCAGCAGTATACATGCACCCTATCAGAACATCCCCTGCCTTGGAACACCCAATTCCTGTTCCCAGCCTGGCACCACAGGACCTGTGCCCCCCCCCGTGTGCCTGTGAGGGGCCAGGGGCCCGGGGTGCACACCGCAGGGTGGGAAGCTGTCCGACTGACCAAGAACACCAACAGGCAGCAGGGATTTCATACAACCCCTACACACCCCTCTGTGACCAGAACAAGCCTTCTGGCAGCTGTCACCAAGGGATCTGCCCGGGGGGTTCCCCCACCAACCCCTCAAAGGCACCAGTGTCCCTTTGCCATATTCAGATGCAAATACACAGGAAAGAAAAGCCCAATTCTTCCCTTCCCAAGCACTTCAGCGTTTTAACCCCTGAAGGAGAAGGGGCAGACTTACGTTGGGCCTGTTTCCAAAAGCAGCATAGAAAGGCTGTTTGCTGGGAGCAAACAAATTCTTGATATCATTCAAACACTCAATTTTGAACTTTTCAGGCTTCTTTTCTATTACTTCCCTAAAATAAAATGTCAACAGTCAAATCCTAAACGATGACTCAATCGAGGGCATCCTGCTCCCCCCACTGATCTGGTATGTATGGGATAGAATTCCCAGCTGGGAATGTGGTTTGTGAGCTGCTCTTACTGCAGATGGCCACCTGGTCACAAGACCCCACCAAGTGCAGATGGAATCACAGAACTGTTTTGGTTGGAAGGGACCATTTAAGGTCATCAACTCCAACCAACCACCCCCCATCCCTGCCAGGTCCCCACTGCCCCGTGTCCCTCACCCCACATCTCCACGGCTTGGGAACCCCCCCAGGGGTGGGGACTCCACCACTGCCCTGGGCAGCCTGGCACAGGGCTCAACAACCCTTTTTGGGGAAGGTTCCTGCTCCCCTCCCCGCCCTCCTGTGAGCACTGCACTAAGGCCTTGAAAGACAAAATCCAGCCCGGGGTGAAGGTTTGAGCACAGCTGCCACGCTCAGCACCCAAACCTCTTCAACCTGCTCCCTTCTCTGGGGTGGGGGGCGGGCACAGGGTCCCCGTGCTCACCTGTGCAAGGCAGAGAACAAGCTGCTGGGGGACAGCATGAGGGGGCCCCTGGGGAGGATGGTCCCTTTGTCGTTCACCCAGTGCAGGTACCCTCTGGTCATCGCCGCCATCCCGATGGCACGGGCCGAGCAGTACAGGAACTTGTACCCGTTCCTGCAAGAGAGGTGCCAGCTGAGCCCACGGGCTCCCCTGCAGCCCAGGACCCTGCAGCAGCTCTGCCCACGGGCACCAGCGTGGCACCGGCCGTCAGGGCGCCGCGGGCACAGCAGGGGGGGGCTGCACAGGACCTGCAGGGCAGGGGGGGCAATACCCACACCACACAACGAGATGGACTAGGTGGGGCTTAAACAGCAGCCACAGTGCCTTGCCCCTGCCTCTGATGGCTTTACAGCACCACCACAGTGCCTTGCCCCTGCCTCTGATGGGTTTACAGCACCACCACAGTGCCTTGCCCCTGCCTCTGATGGGTTTACAGCACCACCACAGTGCCTTGCCCCAGGTTCTTGCAGCCCAGCAGGAGGACAGTGGCAATTACTTGTGTTATCTGCATCACAGAATGTTGGATGCCAGACCTCTGGCCTTGGTTGTTGGATTTTTTCAGGTTGTTGGCAGAATTTGCAGCACAGAGTGAAGGGTGGGTAGCAAGGAGCATTCATCAAGCCCACAGATTTTTCCTGCAGACTTTGTAGGTGAATCTGCTGCACAGATTTGTGCACAGTTACTGCAGGCACAAAAGGCTTGAGTGCTGATGGCTGTTCTCAGAGACCTGATTCAATTTGGGAAATCATTCCAAACCCCTCTTTTATTATGACCTGCCCTCTAATTCCCAAATTACAGAAACCCCTAATTGCTTCACAGGTTACATACTCACTCATTTATGGAATGGTAAAGCTTTGCAATGCCCTGATGAGTCCAGTCCTTGCCAAACTGAGGCAGGATGTGTCCCAAAGCATCAGACCTAAAAGCAAAGCCAGAGGTGGCCGATACTCAGTGTATGAGTTTTGTAGAGAGCCACTAATCAATATACAAAACTGATAATGACTATTGTGGAAGTATCTCTGCAGAATGTCCTGATGATTTCAAAAGAGCAGTAATTACTCCAGGCAGAGCAATTAGTGGAGCCACACAGCACAAGTGGCTGTTAAACCTGGAGAAGTGTGACAGGCACGTGGCCAGTGCTATCCCTCTGCAGCTTTCCCTCAGAAGCCATTTCCAGTTTGCTGTAAAGGCAAGCACAAACTGAAATCAAAGCCATGGGATTTTTTCATGACTCTTATGAACGTTCTTTAACGGTCTTAAGTTTCTTTGTCTCCTTTTGAAAAGCAGGATTGGAGCAATAAAGAGAGATTAAAAGCCAATAAGCAAAGGGAGGAGCCCCAGTGCCACTCACTTGGTTATGGTGCCGTCGATGTCCGAGATGATGATTTTGTCATTCCAGTTCCAGAGATAGATGGTCCCTGCACAACGGCAAGTCCCCTGGTACTGGGTGGTGATACTGAACACCACGTCGTTGGGGCCGTCTCTGAGCTTCAGCTTTGCCTTTAGAATGAATCACAGCAATTGGAAACAGAAGGTGCCCTCCCCGTGGCATTTTTGGGATGCCAGGGGCTGCAGAGAGGGCTCCCAGCAGCCGGGTGTGGGCACCCTGCAGAGCCAGGGCTGCAGCCCCCAGGCTCCCCACGGCTCCCCTGGCCTCTGCCCCTGCTGCAGCACTGATGGACCCTCTCCTCCATCCCCTCCCCGAGGCAGGTCCCACGCTCAGAGAGCAGCAGAACCAGCTGCACAGCAGTTAAACTGTGCATCCTCAGGCTGCTCAGGACCCACGGCATCCAAACTGCAGGAGCCAGCAGTGGAGAGGTGAAGCAGCCCATGTCCAGGCAGGCACTTACTATTTGGTCCGAGGACAGTCTAAGTGACTTCTTGTACGACGGGACGCTCCCGTGGGCTGGATGCTCTGCTGGGACAGAATCCATTTTCAGGGATTCCTTCAGCTCCTGCGATGCTTCATCACTAGAGGAGTCATCTTCTGGAGGTCTAACGTGACATGGACCATAATAAGTGTGAGCTACAGAAAACCCTCCTTCAATGTGTAAGATTTCTATGCAAGAGTCACTTCAGCTTACACCGAGGACCTCTGCCAGCCCGACAGCAGAGTCCACAGGCTAGTGCCCGCCCAGGCATGGCAGCAGGTGCCGAGCAGCCAGCCAGGCAGCAGTGCAGGCTGGTGCTGGTGGAGCACTGAGCACCACCAGGGCTAGCTGGCTGCAGGGGGGCTGGCACAGGCACAGGCACGGGGCGAGGAGCCGGGTGAGGGTGCTCAGTGAGCTGCCAGGTCCCTCCCCGAGACCCGGGCTGGGAAGCTGGGGCAGCAGCTCACCTTCCAGCACTACTCACTGACTTATTTTTCTGCCAACTGGAGACTTTGAGATTGAAAGTGGCATATTTAATTTCCCTGAAGCACTCAGCCACAATATATTCAGTTTTTTAGACTTTTAAGACACCAACATTTACAAGTATCTTTGTAAACACATGGGAGGATATGAATATTCTTAATAAATGACCTAAACTGGGACAGTTTTGTGTTAAATACTGCTAATTTTTAACACAATCTTGGGCAACTTGTGCACTTTAATACTACTTTATTATTTCATTTAATGTTACAAAAAACTGCACATGGTTTAAGTTATCCATACAATATTAAGATTTTACAGGCAAAAAACAAAGAATGGCAAAGAGTGCCTTGGAAACAATTCCTCTCCCTTTGGGGAGCAGTGCCCATGGGTAAGGGGCACCATGCACGTCCTTGTTCTGCCAGTTCCATCACCATTTCAGGAGCAAATGCAGTAAGATTTAGGAAATAACTGCAGTGTATTTGTAGCCCCTACAATGTCTGCTGCCACACTGCTGTGCTGAAACGTTGGCTAAGCACATCTGGTTCCTCTTTGGTAGCTTAGAGGAAAATCTTTCTTCCCACAGTAAATTCCTTTCTGAATTCTTCATTTAAAAAAAAAAAATATATAAAGAAAAAAAGGCACATTTGGTCCCCAAAATAGTCTTCAGACAGGAACACACCTGCTGTTCACTTGCTCTTTCACAGCTGCTGGCAGCTCACTGGCTCTTTGTGTCTCAGCTTTCCCCTCTTTCGCCTCTGGGATCTGCAGGAACACGGTCACAGAAACAGGCTGACATCTGAAGCACTTGCACTGGCCCAGGGGAGCTCCCTCACACCCAGGCAGGCAGCCCCAGGACAGCACACAGACCACACGGAGCCCCAGCTCTGCTCCTTCTGTACACTGGTGAGCAAAGGCATGCTCATGGAGAAATACTGCAGTAAAGCTTTTTGTTCTTTCAGGAAACCCACCTCTGCATCCCAGGAGTGGGAACCGTGAATTTAACATGAGGAATTTAGCATAAAAAGAGCTGACAACCTCTACAACTATAAAATTCACTGCTCTGAAGTAAATTTAAGGCACACACTCAGGTTTAGAAGGCTTAGTGCAGTGTGAAACGTTGTGTCCCTCAGCCAACATCTGCTGTGCAGCACAGCACCTGCTTGTCTGTGCACCCCATCCCAAACACACTGCAGTGGCTCTGACAGCAGCTCACACCTCCCAGGACAGGATCCTGGACACTGTGCAACAGCTGGATACCATGGAGCTGGCTGGAGCAGCTCATCCCAGCAAGCAGGGACGTGGTGTGTGAGAGTGACTGCAGAAGGAGCTGCAGCTGCTGCCACAGGGAGTCACCCTCAGGTGGCAGCGGGGGACAGGGAGCTGTGGGAGCAGTGTTCTGGGGCACTCCTCACAAATTACAGCTTTCCCATCTTTGAGCAGCCAAGGGAAGAGAAAGCCAGCCCAGAGCAGCCCCAGCTACCTGCTTGGTCAGGCTCTCCCTCTTGCGCCAGAACCACCACCTTCCAGACTTCTTTGGCATCTTCTCTTTGACCCAGGACTCAACAGTAGCCTGAGAAAGGAGGCACGTTTTTAACTTGTATTAAAGAAAACAAAATAAAGAGATAACCATGTGTTGCTAAGTACAAAACCTTCCCAAAAAAGTCTATGTGTATTGTCTTACCTTAGGCAAACTCTTCTGGAAGACCTGCAGGCTCAGGACCATGGGAGCAGCCAGTGCCCAGTTATAGTACCTGTTTTCAAACACGTTACTGGTAAGCTACTACAAAACCTGGCTGGGTCTGGCAGCATGCAAACAGCCCTTTTGCCAACAATAATACCTATTTCCTGCCAACTGCTAATATCAACGTTTTCTGCAAGCAGTTATTTTAATACATGTACACAATTGGTGGTAATGGCTGAAAAAAATCTCACTTCAGTTCATGCTAAATTTAATGCAAATCTTCAATTCAAAAATCATTCCCTGTGGGGCTGAGGAACAGATCCATCAAACTCAACAAACTGCAATGGGAGCTGAGAAGTGCACTTGATTTAAAGGGCAGATTTAAAAGGAGATCTTCTATGACCTAATTACGTGATATAGAGAATTTACCTGTTATAAATCCTTATTACCAAATTTGGATTCTCTATGAGTCCAGGGTTTTCAGCAAATTCATGATAAGTTATAATATGTTCCATGAATTTTTCTGCAACAGAAGCAGATTTTAATTAGAAGGAGTAACATAAAATCCCAAGATGCCAAATTAATTTGTAGCTAGGAAAATGCTCCCTGTCACATCAGAGCTGAGCTAGTAACAGCCTGACCTGCCCAGGAGCTGGGAATGCCCCTGAGCCAGAGGGTCCTGCCCCTGGAGCTGGGAATGCCCCTGAGCCAGAGGGACCTGTCCCAGGAGCTGGGAATGCCCCTGAGCCAGAGGGTCCCTGCCCCTGGAGCTGGGAATGCCCCTGAGCCAGAGGGACCTGTCCCAGGAGCTGGGAATGCCCCCGAGTCAGAGGGTCCTGCCCAGGAGCTGGGAATGCCCCTGAGCCAGAGGGATCTGCCCCTGGAGCTGGGAATGCCCCCGAGCTGGAGGGAATGCTGCTGGCCCCAGCAAGGAGAACTAAGGAATCAGCAGAGGGAGGATCAGGAGGAGGCAGGAACCAACTCAGTTCCTGTGCCTGTCAGAGCAAGTTTTCTTTAGCAGTTGTTATGGCAGGTGAGGGGCCCACACAGCAGCTCACTGGGGAGTGGGAAGGCTGTGCCAGCTTTGCAGGTCTGTTTAATCCCTAACGGCAATTTCACAGCTACTGACTACACAAGTTTGCAGAAATTCATCATTTCCTGTAGGCCCCCTGCAAGGAAGACATTTTCTCCAGTCAAATCCAATACTGCCACCACGTTACCAGGAGAGCTGTTCTGAGCCTTTCTTAATAAGTGTTTACATTTCACTTGATGCATTAGAGCCCAGATGACCACTAAAGAAATAATACCAAAACCACTGCAGCACACGTTCATGAAGGTGAAGTGCTCTTAGGAGCTCCCTCAGAAATGTATGTGTCAATATTAAAGTTAACCAGAGCATTCTGAGAGAAGACTTGGCTGGTAACGTTCTAAAGCTTAAACACTTGGGACAGGGAAAGCACAGCAGGAGAAAAGACAGGCCCATACAATAGTCAAAGGGATTTTTAATTGCTTAAAAAACACCAGACAAAACAACACTGAAGAAAAAACATCATCAGGCAATTGGAAGGAATGAATTGTGAAGATTTATATAAGACTAGCAAGTGATGGCAGCCAGAAACGAGAGTGGCTGGTCAGATGTGCAACGTGTAGAGCAAAAGAGGAGACAGAGAAAGCTTCTGGAGCCACAAAGTGCCCCCGACCAGCCTGCAGCTGAGCTCTGCTGCACGAAGCGCAGGGAGCGAGCTGCTGCCCGCTGCCTCTCCTGCCCAGGGGCAGAGCAGGGGCAGAGCAGGGGCATCCCCTCCCCCGGGGCACTCCCTCCCTCCCGCGGGGCAGTCCCTCCCCCCCTGCCCGCGGCAGTACCTCGGGAGATCTCTCCGTTGTCGCTGAGGCCCCCGCAGAGGGAGAGGGTGACGTCGGGCAGGTCCATGGCCGAGTCAGACAGGCACTCGGTGCCGCTGTCGGCCGCGGCGCTGCCCACCGACTGCGGGGACTGGGACCCCGACAGGGGGTCTGACTCTGGCCACTGCCGGAACCCCGCCTCGGGATCACTGCACACAGAAGGGCACAGAGCACAAGTGTTGCACTGGCACTGCAGGAGCACTCACACCCAAACCATCCTGCGGCCACGGCTCTTTCAAGTACTACATCACTTTACAGCAAATACATTTGAAACCAAGCAAACAAAACCCCAGACCCAGCCATACCCTTCCCACCCCCTGCGACCCACCCTGACACTGCCAGGCTGACAGTTTCCAGCTCTCCTAACACTCACCTAAATGGGGAAGTAATTACATTTCTCTTGCCTGCAACATAATTGGATTTCGATGAGGAAAAGATCCTCTACATTCTGTTTTTGCAGAACAGCACCATGCTCCTCAGTCTTTACCAGAAAGCTGAGGAACAACAATATGGTGTGTGTGGTTTAAACTGACACCCCCCTCCCATATTTGCAGAACAAACAAGATGGAAACTCTGGGCAACGACCACCCACGGGATCTTCCAACATGTCTCTTGTCAAATCAGAAACAGGTTTTCACACTGGTACCAGCACCGATTGCTCCACAAAAGCCCAGAAACCTGCTGGCCAGTTCTTTTTATCAGAGCTGGTGCATAAACACCTAAATCACACGTGTAATAACTCACACAGTGCCAGCATAGTCTAACCCTCGATGCACAGAACCTTCACCCAGAGCTACCTTTTGGGGAAGTAGAGAGCTGCGACCTCAGGTTCCAAGGCCTTTAGGTCCTCCAAGTAAATACCGTCAGGCCCCTGATGATGGCTCCGCTTGTGCACCCCTGTTAAATTTAGCAATTAAGATTAGGCAAAAGAAGATATCCAGACACGTTAAAAAAACAACATGATTGTGGAACATTCAGACTTACTCACAGCACTTATAAAACCAAGAGCTTAACTGTCGTTTTAGTGAGATAAGACTTTAAATAAGAAAAAAGCAGGACTATCTGCAAAGGCACACTCACACTGCGGCCACTACGGCCTCAGGTTTGGCAGACCATGCTGAAGGACAGAATCCACAGCTTTATGAAATACCTTTCTTTTTTGAAGGAGAGTCGGTTTTTGCTGGAGGCTTTGTTTCTGGCAAGGGGTCCACCAACAGCCTGGAATGATGATCAGCATCTAGTGGCAACGGATCTTGCGGCTCTACGACGGCAGAAGCGAGAGAATCTTTAACATCCATCTGCTTAAGCAGAGGATGAGTTCTTGGCTCAGGTTTCAGTACTGTACAGACAGCATCTTTCACATCATCGTCATCTTCAACTTCATCAGAGCTGAGGATGACCCTAAAATGAGTCTTCTCTGATGGGGTAATGGTAGCTGTTCGGGGGTGTTCCAGTTTCTCTTTTTTGCTTATCTGAAAAAGAGAACTCTAGTCAACCCTTTCACTTCACACACTGGTTTTATTCTGGCCTCAACGTTCAACTCGTACTCATGGTCACAAACAAACCAGGTAAGAATGCAGAGCTGTGTTTTAGCAGCAGAAGACATGTCCCACCTTGCTAGCAGAGTCCCCTGCAACAGCAGTGTCCTACTCACTCATTTACAAGCTCAGTAAAGAACCTGGCACAGAGGCAGCACTGGCCTGACCCAAGCTTGGCAGAAGTGTGCATGTCCCAGGGCTTCTGTCACCAGCTGTCCTTTTAGATACCAAACTTACTCTATCAGGGCTACACTTCCTCTGGAATGAACTAGAACTTAGCCCAAAATAAAGGAAATTAATTTCTGAAGTTGATTTCTTCACTTTCTAAGTAAAAATTCAAAAATTTCAGATTTTTACTGCTATGTTTTGTGGATTGACTTTGCTGAGCAGCTCCTGAACTCCACACGTCCCCTGCTCTGCCTGCCACGGGGAGGAGCTACTTCCCTATTTCAGCTGAATTCCTCTGAAGAACAGCAGCAGATTCCCACCTCCCTCAGATACACTCCGTTCACAAAGTTAGAGACAACAAATAAATTTACCTTGGTTGATTCTGGGAATCCTCCCCATGTCCATTCCATGTGAGATTCAGACCTGAGCAAGCTCTCAGCAGGTTTAACTTCTAATTCTGAATCACTTTTAGGGCAGACTGTCTCGGAGAAAGGGCTAGCAAATCAACAAGAACAAACAAAAAAAAGCAGTGTTTAAAATGCATTTGTTGTGCAGCTACTGTTGGTAGAGTTTTGTACAGCTCAACAGAGCTTCAATTATTCGGCAACGTGGCAAGGAGCCCAGCAGGGTTTTCAGACAGTGAGAAATTAGGTTAAAACCAAAATCACATTAAAGGACTTACATAGTGATCACCCTAAACAGCCTGCTCTGCTCTATCTGTGCAACTACAGCTCTCCCCTCAGCCCAGGCTCCATCTTCAGACAAAACAGACAAACCTAGAAGAGTTTGTCTAAAAGTAAGACTGAAATTACCTTTAAACTCCTTTGCTCTGCAAAAATGCAGCATTGAAGCTTGCAGTGCCAGGACCTGAGCAGCAACAGTGCTGCCAGCCTAACTCCTGGAACTCCACCACGGGAGCTCTGGAGAGGGAAGGGAGACTACTTGAAAACTTCCTTCAGATGTGCTTGGACTACTTGATGCCCTGAGGTCCCTTCCAGCCTGGGCTGTTCTACGATTTAATATTGAATCAATACTTTAATTTAATACTTTAACACTGAAAATTCTACAGTAACCCTTACAGGTATTTAATTTATGGTTTGGTTCTTTTCCTTACAAAATTCCTGCAAGAATTAGTTTTTTAATGCAGTATCATAGTAGAAACTTTCTGGGTGTTTGTGGAGTCAGGGTTTTGCTCTATCATAGAAGACAAAACTGATCACAATTCAGACTGTGAACACAGACAGCACACAGATCAGGATCCAGGCAGATTTTTTAATGCAGTATCATAGTAGAAACTTTCTGGGTGTTTGTGGAGTCAGGGTTTTGCTCTATCATAAAAGACAAAACTGATCACAATTCAGACTGTGAACACAGCACACAGATCAGAATCCAGGCAGAAAGAATCCCTCCTGTTACTCTGAGGGACACCACAAAATCCGAGGTAGAAGGACACTGAAACAGGTCTGCAGTGGTGATTCATCACCACAGCACCCCTCTCCTACCAGGACAGCCCAGGAGAGCTGGTGTTGTCCAGCATGGAGAAGAGAAGGCTCCAAGGAGACCTTACTGTGGTCTTCCAGTATCTGAAGGGGGCTTACAAGAAAGCTGGGGAGGAATTTTTGACAAGGGCTTTTAGTGATAGGATGAGGAGTAATGGGTTCAAACTGGAAGGTAGGTTTAGATTAGAAATTAGGAAGAAGTTCTTCACTGTGAAGGTGCTTAGACACTGGCCCAGGTTGCCCAGGGAAGCTGTGGATGCTCCATGACTGGATGTGTCAAAGACCAGGCTGGATGGGGCTTTGAGCAACCTGGTCTAGTGAGAGGTTACTCCCATGGCAGGGGGGCTGGACCTAGACAATCTTAAGGTCCCTTCCAATCCAAACCATCCTCTGATTCTAGGGTCACACTGTTAACTTCAAGCCTTCATCACACAGTGATACAAAAAGGAAACAGTTTAGAGATTCCCTCTCCCCAGTTCCCCTTTAACAACTTCTACAGCCATTTCCTGTGCTGTTAGAAGGTCTTACTGAAAGCAGCACTACATGTAACACGTAGTGACATGAAGCAACAGACCTGGATGTTTCTTTTCATGAGGGATACAAACTCATTTTCCCTACGTGCCAAATAATTTGTTCTGTTTGTATCCTGAGTGAACTGGAAGCCAAGCAGAGATATTCACCTGTTCTAAGTGTAATTCTTAATATCCAGCAGCACTTTGCAAAGGACTGAACACTTCAGGGCTTTGAGAGCCTAAGCCTGGTCCACTGCCCCCAGGGGGTATGTTTTCCATTACTACTCTCAGGGTGAAGTCTTCAGCCCAAAGGTCCATGGCTGTAGCAGTGATCTCCTCATGCTACCATTGCTTGTTAAAGCAGGAAGGACATCCATGGCATCAGCTATCAAAAAGTTAATGGTTATGCTCTTTGGCTTTATCCCAGTGAGCAGCACAAGCATCCTCAGACTTGGGCTGCTATCCCTTAGCTCCCTGAAGGGTTCTGAGGAGCAAAAGGACCAGCCTCAGCTAAAATACAGACAGCTCTGCCAGGTCTCCAAAGAGCAGGTTGTTAAGAGCTGCCACTTCTCTGTCACTGGATGATGGCTACATTACACAATCTTTCCTTGCTAGCTTAGGAGAAATAATTTCATTCAAAATTTCTCTTCTCCTAGATGGCTCATCTGAGAGACAATTCCCCACCCAGCACTCCTCTAAGAGGGAGAGGAGAACTGCCCATTTCTCCATGACACTACAGCCTGTTCTAGGTAGTGTCTTCTTTAAAAAACCCCAAACTACAGAGAGCCTAGTGATGCACAAACAAGTTGGTAGAGCCGACTATCCCCTAAATATGTAAACAAGAGAGGCACAAATCTTATCTCCCCAGCACAGCCTGCCAGCCTACGTTAGCCTGAGCTCCATGAGCTGGGAAGGAGCTCTGCAGAGGCCTCTGCTCTGCAGCTCCCC